GTGTTGTGTACTTCTGTATAAATATGACCTTGAAATCACAGGCCTTTACCTTTGCCAGTCAGCCTGTGTGTACATGTATCTGTGTTTGTCTGTAAGCATGTGCACCTACCTGTACGTGACCTGTGTGCTAGGGAGCGTGTCTCTGTGCCTACTTGGGTGCAGTCCTTATAACTGGCATGTACCTGGGTGCCTGAAGGCATCTGCCTGCCCAGTGGCCTGAGTGCTGGTGAATAAGATGTTTGTCGGACCTACCTGGATTTCTCAGAATCCTCTGCAACCTCCTGGAACTCTCCTCCTTTCCTGGCATTGAAGCTTGGATCTCACTACATCCCCCAAGCAAAACTAGCAGAGATTCTGAACCACACCTTTTCCTATAATCCTCTAAAGGAGAAAAGGGGATGAGGAAATGCCTGGCTGTGTTTTAGGGAGGGCTCTGTAGCGTACCTTTTCATCCACTCCCATCCCCCAATATCACATTACAGGTGAAGATGGTAGATGGAGAAAACTCGTGGACAGGAATACATTTGTACCTGTTTGCAAAGCAGTGGGGGGAAAGTGCATTTGATTATGAATTGCAATAATTAAAACGAGCGTGATAGTCCTTAACGCCTCCATTCCAGGAAGAGATGAGCATTGCTCCATGAATGAGTGAATCGGCCTTACAAAATTGCGAGGTCTCTCCTCTGCAATTACATTTAGCCTTTTCTGAAATCATCCAAACAAAGTGCTCAGCAGGAAAGGAAGGTTGGGGAGCAATTTGGCAGTACATCATAGTGATTACTAGTTTTTCATCTTTGAGGGAGAGATGACTAATTGTTGACCAAATCCACTCTCCTCTTCCTCGGGGTTGTACGACATCAGTGAGATGGAAAATCCCTAACTCCTGAGATTAGGCACGATCATGAGGCCAAACTTCAAAGGCAGGTTGTGCATGCAGGAGATGACCTCAACTCCTCAGTCAGTTCTGAACACGAAATAGATGCGCCGGATCTGCTCTGTCTCTGTCTCTGTCTCTGTCTCTGTCCCTATCTCTGTCTCTCTCTGTCTCTCTCTGTCTCTCTGTCTCTGTCTCTCTCTCTGTCTCTGTCTCTCTCTCTCTCTCTCTCTCTCTCTCTCTCTCTCTGTCTCTCTGTCTCTCTCTCGTGAGTTCAGGTAAGATGAAAAGAGATCCTTTCAGGGATGGCCTTGATAACAAAATGGGTAAAAAGTGATCACCTGATTGTTGGAGTAAATTAGGAAATTAAACTCACCTGGAACCTCTGAGCCTGCCCTGCTTACCTCAGGACTGTAACGACAGAGGGAAATGCACTCCCTGTGCCTTGGATAATTCTCTAATTTTGCATTTTTCAGGCTAACCAAAGGAAGTGTATATGTAGTCTAATATGCGATCTATCATTCCGCATAACATGGTATTTAAAATTATTTTTATTTTCTATACCTGGACATCAAATCACAACATACAGAGTGGTAAAATGTAAGTTTGTTATCTTGCAAGTTTGCAGACCCAGCTCAGATCGGATCTCCTCTCAGATTTCTCCACAGGAGCACCGAGGGGGTCAGCTGGGGCTGCTTGCTCCTGTGAGGCCAAGGTCTCCCGAACTCACGTGTGTGAGAGACACAGTGTTTTCAGTGCTGCTGAAGATCAGGGTGGGGTCTCTGCTTTCTTGTGAGCTGTGGGCTAGTGACTATTCAGTTTTCAGTAGCTATCGTTCGTTCTGGTTCACGTGTCTCTGGAGGGTACCTCACACCGTGCATGCTACTTCTTAATTCATCTCTGGTTTTCTTCCCCGCAGACCATGCTCTGCTCTGAAAGGGCTCATCCGGCTCTAGAAGGCCTACCAGGGGTGATTTCCCTTTGGGGTACGAGTTAGTATAAACTGTAGGAAAGATACACTATCATATTTACAAGTTTACACACTTCGGGGGTGAGGGTCAGGGAATCGCCAAGACCTATATAACAAGGTAAAGAGACTTTTGAGAGTCATTTAAGAAACATGCCTAAGTTAGGCTGGACAGCTAGAGAGAACACCTACACAGCTTATTGAACCCAGAGAGGTCGAGCTGGTGCCCATCTAGAGCCTTCACCCCTACAGACGAGTGTTCGTGGTACTAGAAGGTACTCTGCGTGCTACCCAAGAAGGAAGCTAAACATCAACCCAGCTACAAATTCTTCCATCTACAATGGTGACCTGCCTGGAAGATGTGCCTGTGCAACAGAGGAGAGGCACAGAGCTCGTGGGAGTCACCAACCAATATCTGATTGGATTTAAGGCCTGCGCCATGGAATGGAACCTATCACTGACACTTCTCGAGGGGCCGAGAACCTGAGACCAGATAGTCCAGAGACCTAGGGGAAAACCAAAACTACTGCCGAAGGAACACGGCCATAACATGACTCCTAATGACATTCTGCAATACTCGCAGATCAGTGCCCTGCCCAGCCAGCCATCATCAGGGTAGCGTCGCCCTGCAGAAGATGGGAACAAATATAGAGGGCAATAGCCAGACAATGTTCAGAGAGAGAGAGAGAGAGAGAGAGAGAGAGAGAGAGAGAGAGAGAGAGAGCGCTTAGAAAACTTGGTTCTAATGGGATGTCTCCATCAAGTCCACCCCCTCAGGGCTCAGAGAGCTTTGTGAAGAGTAGGCAGAAAGATTATAAGAGCCATGGGAGATGGAGCACACCAAGGAAACAAGGCCTTTGAAACACAGCACGGTTGATGCACACATAAACTCACAGAGACTGTGGCAGCGTGCACAGGGTGTGCACAGGTCTACAACAGATGGTGTCCCGGAACTGGGTGGAAGTGGACACAAGTCCACATCTCTCACCCAGAAGCTAGCTCTGATACATCACCACTCACAACTTAAAAAAATTAGTGAGATGGTGGCACTTATGCCTTGGGAGTGGCCGGTAGTTGTCTGATTTGATTTAAGGTCTACTTACTAGGCAAGAACTCCTGTGTAGTACTATAATTCCAGCCAACCACCTGTGGCTTGTGAGGTCATGAACCCTAGAGGGGAACCCATTACCTGCACTTTCCTGAACCATTCCAATCTCTAACTGTATTCTAAATACTTACCATTATATTCATAGGTAGATGCAGCTCTCCCTCCTCATTGAAGAGGCTCCTTTTGACAGCAGAGGGAAATTATTACAGAAATCCACAACTGGTTGGAATGTAGAGAACGAACAACCGCGGGTTGCCTAACCCTAGTTGATACATCTACCATGCAACCAACCCCTATGCCTAGGGCACCAAGCACATCATGGGTACAGAAGGACAGTAAGAACCAGAGGACCAGGATGTCTGCTGTGTGGTAGTGTCTTCTACACACGGCAAGCCAGCTGCATGCCTGAAATCTCCAAAATGTGGTCACCTAAATAAGACCTGCACAATGACAACACCAGTTGACATGCCAGTGTGGATGGAGGACACCCCACAGGCCCTACCCCCAGATGAAGAGATACAGGCAATTCCTGGTTGTGTACAGAAGAAGAATCAGGCTTCTCTAGGGGTGAGTCTCTTGATAGGTTATTCCATCCCGAGGTCATCCATAGGCACATATACACAGGAGCGACACCAAGTGAACTCATTATATATTCATAAGTAAGAATGGTTAAAGAGGAGGTTATGAGAGGAGGTTTGAGAGGAGGAGCATGGGAGGAGTGGGGGGAGGAAGGAAGGAAAGGGAATGTTGTAAATACACTACACATGTGTGAAATTTTCAAGGTACGTAAATCAATTTCCATTTTAAAATACCCATATGTGATATATAGCATATTTACACATGACTAAGGATCACCACTAAACATTTGTTATAACCATGAATTTGGAAACACGTTAACATGCATTTCATCAAAGAAACCTTGCGGAAAACTTTTCTATGAAAGACAACATTATATTCCCTATGTAACAGATTAGGGAGGTAAGGTTTAGAAAGGTTCAGTTACTTGCCCAAAGGTATACAATTTGGAAGTGGCTGAGTGTGGATTAGACCCACATCTGTCTGCGGATGGCATGAACTTTGGCGTGGGATATGCATATTACACCTGCTCTTCATGTCCTGTACTTCAATATCACTTGTCACGGTCCCAACTAAATGAGCATTGTGAGAGAAACTGGCTGTGTCTGTTTCCTTAGATATCATCATCATCATCATCATCATCATCACCACCACCACCATTATTACCACTGCCACCATCACCATCATCATCATCATTACCACCACCATCATCATCATATGGAGAGAGCCGTATCCATATGTGTAATTTACCTACAAGTGCCAGAGAAGCTGACTCTCCGTGATTATGCCAGTACAGAATCACTGTCATCTCTAAACGGCTGATTGCTGGAAAGGCCTTAGGAGCTCATTCATGTCACTCGGTCTTTAACTGATGGCTTTAAGATAGATGTGACATCTCTAGCTACTGCATCAAAGTCACGGCTGGAAGAAAGAGAAAGGGATCGAAGTTGTCATTTCTGTCTAAATTTAATAGGAAAACGTATATTCTTGGCTGTGAGTGTGTTGCTTACCATTCTAATCTGTATGAGTTACCAAGAGGGTGAAATTCTCCGCAGTCCAAATTGGGGAACTGTGGAATGACTGGTAAACAACAGATATCTACAATAAGGAGGACTTGGATCCACCATGTCCATTCTATCTTAGTGCCCAACTTGGTGGCCTATGCACAGTAGGCTGATGTGGAATAAATGCCTGTTAAATAATGCACATAAGGCTGCCAAGGCCAGTCGGTGGATGAAGCGCTTACCGCACAAGCCTGAAGACCCGATTTCAAGTCTCAGTTCCCACGTTGGAAGGAGAGAACCAACTCTCAAGAGTTGTCTTCTGATCTTCATACACAGTGCTCAGTCTCTCTCTCTCTCTCTCTCTCTCTCTCTCTCTCTCTCTCTCTCTCTCTCTCTCTCTC